GGGCCCAGCTGCTTCAGCACCGGCATCTGCGGGGTAGGGCCGGGTCAGCGCTGCCTCCTCCGGGAGCGAGTGAGCGAGCGAGGCCGCGTTCCCACCCTGGGCCTAAGGCAGCGAGCGGTTCAAAGGAGGGATTACTTCCATTTGACAGGTGGGGAAACAGCGGCTCCCGGAGGCCCGAGGTCGCAGACCCCAATGGAGGTTGGCCCGCGACCACCACGCCATGCTGATTCCACTAATTACTAATATTCGAGTCTCCCTACAGGCCCGGCAACAGTGCTTCACCGACTCTTCCGAGTGTTTCCTAAACTTGACGGAGAAACTCCGGCTTCTGCCCGACAGAGATTCCCAGGCCCCTTCCCTGAAGGCGGGATGACTTTGTCCATGGAGGGGAGGGACGCCGGCACAGTGCCTGGGACCCACCACACTTGGAGAGGCCTAAGAGAATGTTAAAAATGTTTTAATCTATTTTAAAACGTGTGGGAAAGATTTGCCTTTACACCAACACAGCTATAAAATATAAATTAATATATGTCCACGAGACCTTTGCCTAGGGCACAAGCAAGTCCCAATGCAGGCCTGCCTGGAAACTCAAATTTAGGTCTAAGGTGGGCCTGGGAATCTGTATACTTGCACAGCATTTTATCATGAGTATTTGATTCCGAAAGAGACAATATGATGTCTTACTTTTTGCAAATTTCTCTAAAAATGAGCAAGAACAGTGCAAATTTGAAGCTGGCTGCTTGTGCACTACAGGAATAGCTGTGTTACTACCTCGTGGCTCCCCTGGGCTCTATGGTACCTGGAAATGCCTGCCAACCTTTGCCCACATCCTGGAACTTGGCTGTTTTTATGGAACTTTTGGGAGGGGCTTTGATGACCTTGTACTTTTGTTTTTAACAGTCACTGTTATCATCATCATCATAATAAAAAAATCGCCTTTCTGTTTGAATTGAAGCACCACCCTTTGCCAGCTGTATGAGTGAGATAAATTATGTGATTTCTCTATGTCTGTTTCCTCTCTATAAAATGGATAAGGGGTGCCTGGGTGGCTCAGTCAGTTAAGCGTCCGACTTCAGCTCAGGTCATGATCTCACAGTTCGTGAGTTTGAGCCCCGCGTCGGGTTCTGTGCTGACAGCTCAGAGCCTGGAGCCTGCTTCAGATTCTATGTCTCCCTCTCTCTCTGCTCCTGCCCCGCTCATGCTCTGTCTCTCCTTCAAAAATAAATAAAAAAACATTTAAAAAAAATGGATAAAATAACACCACCTTCCTTGAAGGGCATGTAGAAAAATCTCAACTAAAGAAAACTGTACTTGTAATAGTGCCAGCCAATTGGTGGTGCCAGTTGTTGGGGGTGGGGGGGGTGGGGAGGAGGATGTGTCCCCAAATAACTAGAACACAATTTAGATTTGATAAAACCCTATGAAGAAGGTAAAGCAGTCAGCACTATTCTTTCAGTAACTAGCACTCTGGGAAACATCACTGAAAATGCAGAGAAAAATTAAAGCTAAAAGGATTTAAAATAACCATGGCTGGATGTGTTCTGAGGATTGTCCTTTACCCCACCCCAACACACACGCACGTGCTCGCGCGCGCGCATGCACACACACACACACACACTTTACGTTTATTTCCCTGGAAAAACCAGTCTTGATTTTATCACCTCTGTAGTGTTTCTCAAACTCCTCTGACCTCACCTAGATGAGTAAATATATTCTAATTATAACCTGGCACGTAATGGCCTTTCCTCCCCACCACTCCCCCAATAAAAGGGAACAAACATTGGATGAAACAAGACTTACAAGCTAAGGCACTCAGATGTTTTCAATCCTAATCTATTTTATTTGTTTTAAACGCTGACTTTTTCTCATTAATGAATTTCAATCCACAGTGTAAAATGAAAAGAATCTGCTCCCAGAGCTAGTGGGTGCCCATCATTACTGTGGAGTGAGCTGCAGGTGAAAAGAACACCGAATGGGGCGCCTGGGTGGCTCCGTCAGTTGAGCGTCCGACTTCGGCTGGGGTCATGATCTCGCGGTTGGTGGGTTCAAGCCCTGTGTCGGGCTCTGAGCTGACAGTTCGGAGCCTGGGGCCTGCTTCAGATTCTCTGTCTCCCTCTCTTTCTGCCTCTCTCCCACTCAGGCTCTCTGTCTCTGTCTCTGTCTCAAAAATTAAATTTAAAAAAAAAAAAAAAGATCACAGCTCAGCCAACCGCCCAGGTTTCGGTCTGGCTGTGTGGTGTGTGTGGCCTTGGGCAGGTTACTTAACCTTTCTGACCTCATTTCCTCCTAAAAAAAAAAAAGAAAATAAAAGGAACCTAGGGGCATAGGGTGTTCCCATAACACGTCACAGTCCCTTTGCAAGAACTGGTGAGATGTTGCCAATAAAGTCTGGGCACAGGACCCAACACACACAGCCAAAGCAGAAGTTCAGTAAATGTTGAGTGGCCACCTTAGATCATTCTCCCGAGTCCCAGAGAAGGACACACTCACAGAGGGAAAGAGACTTGCCCAAGGTCACAAAACCAGCTCTGTGGGACTCCGGAGCCCAGACTTACCACTTCCACTGTCTGCTGCTTCTTGAACTGACCCCTCCCTGGGCAGCTCTCAGCCGCTGGCTCTTCACCCTGCCCACGCCCTAGCTTGTCCCTCATGCCACCCTTCTGTGGCTCTCCCAGGCCACGTTACCACCATTTTCCCAGTGCCTGGCCAAACACACCTTTCCGTGGGGCCCTGAACTACCTTCCTCAACCTTAAATCTCAGTTTACTCCACTGAAAAAGGGGAGTCGGAAAGCCTGTTTGCTAGGCGTACTTGAAAAGTATATTCATGATGCTGATATTGTATTTCCTAAGTCCTTATTCTGGGCCAGGTGGGGGCCTAAATGGTTTACTCAAATAAACAAACTCATTCAATCCTCAGAACAACCCAGTGAGGGGGGGGAGACCCTTATTTTACAGATGTGGTGGCTGAGGCACAGAGAGAGGGAGTAACTTGCCCGGAGTCACAGGGCAACAAATGTGGGGGGCCTGGTTTGGACACCAGGCAGAGTCTAAACTTGAGAGTCTAAAGATGGCCACCCTGTTGCCCACAGACCCCTTTGGATGGGGCGGGTGGGTGTGTTATCCCCATGGAAAAAACAACGTCCGGAGATGCTCTAAAGTCCCGGGATTTCCTGCACCCTTGACCATATCTATTTGCTTTGCTTTTTTTTTTTTTTTTTTTTTCCATTCCAGACTGAGCGCAATGAATTAGAAATCATTTTCGAGCGCGGCCTCTTGGTGCTAGCTCTGAGGGCCTCGGGTAAGTGGCTCCAGCCTCGGTGTCCTCTTAAATAGAAGGCTCTAGTCTCCTTCTAGCAGAGCTGAGTGCTCGACACAATGAGATCACGCTCGGAAAAACTCCGTCAGCCGGCCAGGGCTCGTACAGAGCGCTGTTGTTTGGCGGAGTGCTGGCGCAAGGGTGAGAGCCCGGGGGGCCCTGGCCCCGCGACTCGGCTGGGCCGCCCTCCTCCCGCCTCCCTGCGCCCCTGCAGGGCCGCAGCTGCAGCTGCAGGAGAGGAGGGCACAGCTGGTTCACCTCCGTCCCCTCCAGCCCCAGCCCCGCCAAGACGGAAATAACCGCCCGCTCCAGACCCGGCCCGACCGGTTCTCGGCTCTGGGGGAGAGGTGGCCAGGCGGGTGGGGCCGAGGCGGGGCCGGGTCCGCGGGTGGGAGACCTCCCCCCCCCCCCCCCCCCCCCCCACCTTGGGCTCGCCGCGCTTGCTGGGGCCACGTGGCTGCCGCCTGCGGTCCCTTCCCGCGTCTTGTCCCGCGTGCCCCCCGGACCTGAGCCGGGGCCCTGGGACCCCGGCTCCCCGCTGCCCCTTACCTCGTGGCCCTCGCGGAGTGGGGCAGGCGCGCTCTCGGGCTCCGACTGGGACGCCCCTCTCCTTGGTTCGGAGCCCGCCTCTGCCTCCGAGTCCCAAGTCCGATCCTTCTTCCTTTTTCCTCCGGGCGGATCACACCTGGCAAAGTGTCATGCGGGACCTGGAGGGGGGGTCCAGGACCCAGGCGTCCTCCTCCTCAGGACCCCTCCTCTCTCAGGTTCCAGGGGTCCTGCCTCCTACCTCTCTTACTCCTCAGATCCAGGAGTCCCAGGTCCCACCCCAACCCCCACCCCCGACCCTGGGGTCCAGGCCGCTGACCCTCCCTGCCTCAGACCCAAGGAGTCCGGGCCCCCACCCCTGGCAGGCCCTGGCCTCGGGTCCCTTCTTACCTGCACCGGGGACCGAAGTGTCAGCCCCTCTCGGGGGGCCATGGTAGGAGCCCAAACGGGCCGCGAAGTCACTGCCCAGTCCAGCCCAGTCCCTCTGGGGCAGAGAGGGTTAAGGCCCAGGCCCCTCCCCGCCTTCCTTATCCCCCAAAAGTTTTGCCTCTAGGATTTAAAGGACTAGAAAGCGGTGGTGGAAAAGCAGAGGCCTCCGGGCGCTGAGTGTGGGGGCGGGCCTGGGCCGGACCGGGTGCGCACAGAGGACACGCAGAAGGGGTGGGGGGATGGACAGGGCGCGCCCCCCTCCCAGCCCAGCCCCTCCTCCTGCCCAGCTTGGAATTTCCTGAAACTGGGGAAGTCTGGCTGTTTAGAAGAGTAATTTCTTCCAGATTGCAGCTGTTGGAGGAGTGTCTGTGGTGTGTGTGTGTGTGTGTGTGTGTGTGTGTGTAGAGGGAGGGCAGGAGAGAGGGAGGGAGAGGGAGGGAGAAGGAAAGAGAATGTGAGAGAATGAAACAGACAAGGTCCCTGAGCCCGCAGGAGCAGCTCTGACCCTGCTTTGGAGAGTTTCCTGGGCGAATGTCCCTGCCTGACACTGCTCACGGAAAGATCATTCCATGACTCTGAACATTTGCACCTTTTGGTGACAAGAGGAGTCTCAGATTTGAATGTTGGGAAGATCCCCCCCCCCCCCCCCAGGAGGCACGAGGGAGGGCCTTCCCAGGAGAGTGGAGTCCCCAGAGAGGAGGCTGGTTGGGAGGAGGCCCAGGGAGGAGGCTGTCTTAGTTGTGAGCTGGGGCTGGCGAAGAGAGTCAATGTCACAGGTAACAAGGAAGTGAAGCTTGAACAAAGCCTCCAAGGAGGGGCCGGATGTAGAGCCGAGGAGAAGAGGAAGAGCACTCAGAGCAGGCTGGGAGCCCAGGTGAGCAGAGGAGGACCACAGGCAAAGAGCACTCTCTAAAATGCAGAGATCAGCTCAAACGCCACTGGGAGCTTAGATTTTTGTCCTGGAGCCTGGGGTACTGAAGGGGTACCCCAGGATAGGATAGCAGGGTCGGATCCAGGGATTAGAAAGTTCCTGGAGGGTGGATGCCGGGTGGCTCAGTCCGTTGAGCATCCCTCTTTGGCTCAGGTCATGATCTCACAGTTTGTGAGTTTGAGCCTGGCGGCGTGCTGACAGCTCACAGCCTGCTTGGGATTCTCTCTCCCTCTCTCTCTGTCTTTCCCAATTTTCATGCTCTCTCTCTCAAAAGAAATAAACTTAAAAATAAATAAAATAAAATTGCAGTCCTTAAAGCTCCCCGTCCCTTTGCCCTGCTTAAAAAAAATGAAAGAAAGAAAGAAAGAAAGAGGAAAGTTCCCTCTGGGAGTCACAAGAGGAATGCTGCATTTCAAATCCAGCATTTTAGGGTGGATTTAGGGTGGATGGGGGGGGGGGTTTACACAAAACTCAGTAACCAAGATAAATAATATAATTAAATATAGATTTTTAGCAAACACTTTTATTGGCGTTAAATCCACACCACATTAAAGGAACTATTTAAAAGTGATGTCTGGTACATCCCCAGTGTTATACAACCACCACCTCTGTCCAGCTCCAAACCATTTTCATCACCCTCTAAAGGAAGCCCCTTATCCCTAAGCCAGTCCCTCCCTATTTCCCCACCTGCAGCTCCTACAGCCACCAGTCTGCTTTCTGTCTCTCTGGATTTGCTTGTTGAGGACGTCTCACAGACACTGAATCCTATGCTGGGTGGCCTTCTGTGTTCCACTTCTCTCACTGAGCATAGTGTCCTCAAGGTTCATCCACGCTGTAGCATGTGTTGGTGCTTAATTCATTTTATGGCTGAATGATATTCCATGGCACAGATAGACCACATTTTGCCTAAAATAAAGAACATTTTAATGCCCTATTTTGAAAATGGATGTATAAAATGAACAAAAAAAAAAATCAAAACTTCAAAGAAAGACAGGAAAGCTTTTTTTGGGGTCCTGGGACAAAAGGAAAAAAATTAGTCACTCTGATCCCATCTTCATTTAAGATTTTGATATTTTGTTCATCACGGATGTGTTATTGATCCTTTTTGTTGCATTTAGTCGTTTGTTGTGTTACAGCGTTGGTCAATCTTGGTTACTGAATCTTTGATGTTTCCTTAATTTTTTTTTTTTTTTGGCAGTGTCCTTTTCCCGGCCCTGGCCAGGAAGCTGTGAGGCTGGGTGCAGGGACTCTGGAGAGGGACCTGAGTTGGAGCCAGGGCCACAAGAATGGAGAGGAAATTACAACGCAAAGGGATTCAGGCAGGTTCACTTGGACTTGAGAGCCAAAAGGGATTTGCAGGAGAGAGAGAAGCAAGGATGAGAGTATTGTTTTTCCATTGATGGTGGAAAGAATCTCCACAACCTATATGGTTGACAACCACCGCATTTTTTTACTCCACGGTGTCTGTAGTTCAGAGTCCGGGTGGGTCCTTAGGCCTCTCAGGGCTGAAATCAAGATATCCAGGGGCGCCTGGGTGGCGCAGTCGGTTAAGCGTCCCACTTCAGCCAGGTCACGATCTCACGGTCCGGGAGTTCGAGCCCCGCGTCGGGCTCTGGGCTGATGGCTCAGAGCCTGGAGCCTGTTTCCGATTCTGTGTCTCCCTCTCTCTCTGCCCCTCCCCTGTTCATGCTCTGTCTCTCTCTGTCCCAAAAATAAATAAACGTTGAAAAAAAAAAAAAAAGATGCCGATATGGCGATCTTCTTCCAAGCTCTTTCAAGGTATTGGCTGAATTCAGTTCCTTGTGGCCATAGGACTGAGGTTCCTGGCTCTGACTAGCTGTCAGCTGGGGCCTGGTCTGCTCCTAGAAGCTGTCTGCCTCCTCATGCTTTCCATGAAGCTCCCCATGGCGGCAGTGAGTTGAATCCCTCTTAGGCTTCAAATCTCTTGGATTCCCCATTCTCTCCATCTCTCTCCTGCCTCTGGCCACAGAAAGTTCTCTGCTTCTAAGGGCTCATGTGATTAGATGGGCCTACCTGGGTAACACAGGTGTATCAGTCAGGGTTCTCCAGGGAACCAGGACATATCCTACATGTATATACATACACACAAGTACTAAGATATACAGGGATACGTGAGATGGAGATGGGATTGGAGAAGGTCATCAAAACCTTACTAGTCAAAGTTTATTTCTCTCTCTACAAATAGGATGTGTTCATGTATTGTTGTGTAACTAAAAATTACATTGAAAACAAAAGAGTAGCAAATGTATCCAAACCAAACAAAGAAGATATATAAGATACCTACATAGTTAAGATATATATAAAATATTAATTTCTACTGATTACTAGGGAATGTGGTTAACAAATCATATATATATGATTAGTTGCTATATATATATATATATATTAGTTGCATATATATATATGATTAGTTGCAATATATATATGATTAGTTACAATATATATATATTAGTTGCATATATATATGATTAGTTGCAATATATATATGATTAGTTACTATATATATATATATATATACACACCATATATATATGATTTGTTGCAAGGAATTGGGTTTTGTGCTTGTAGGGCTGGCAGGACACAAATCCACAGGACTGACTGGAAGCTCTGTCGGTCAGGAGAAGATGGAACGGAATTCCTTTTCCCTCAGAGAAACCTTTATTTTGCTCAACTGATTGGATGAGACCCCTCCCCCCGCCATGTTCTCTCCTTTACTTAGAGTAAAGTGACTGTAGACATTTAACCACATCTACAAAATGTTTCCATAGCAACACCTGGGTTAGTGTTTGACTAAATAGCCAGGTGCTGTAGACTGGCCAAGTGGACACAAGATTCACCATCACACCAGGATAATCTATTTTAAGGTCTGTAAGTTACTTTAATCGTATCTGCAAAGTCCCTTTGCTCTGTGATCAACATATTCGTGAGTTTCGGGCATTCATGCCTGGACATCTTGAGAAGTGCGTTTTGTCTACCTCAACAACTCTCAGAAAGCAGGTCCTGGGGGATGATGAGGCCACCATCAAGGTGGAGAACAGGGGGTGGGAGTGAGACAGGCTGGGGGTTGTACCCAGGAAAGCAGGAAGCAAGGTGAGTTTATGGGCCACTGACCTGCACAGTCGCTTGGGGCCCTGTGCTCAGAAGTGCTGTGCACTTGGTTTAATGATCTCCTGTGACTATCTTGAAATTATTAACAATCTTGAACAAGGGACCCCACATTTTCATTTGCAATGCACCCCCCACCCCGATTGTGTAGCTGGTTCTGGGGTGAAGTGCAGGAAGAGCAGAGGCTTGGGACAAAGCATCCGAGAAGCGTGACATTGGAGGGCTAGCAAGAAGGAAAGAAACTTGCTTGGACAAGGTCCTGGCAGCAGCCAGAGAAAGAGGGGGAGAGAGATGGGATCCAGAAGCTCAGGGAAGTCAAACAGTCTCTCACCGCAGTCTCAAAAGCAGGCCAACGTGATAAGAAGATTCACTGGATTCAGTAACAACCCAGAGACCTGATAATGGCCTGGGTGAGCAGCTGGGGGGCTGGCAACGGAAGCCAGATTGCCCTGGGTGGGGGAGGAGGCAGAGAGGAGGTGCATACCCCAGGAGTCTGGCAGCGACAGGAACGGGGGAGAGATAAGAGTCAGATAGGGGTCAGAAAAAGAGTATTGTTTCTTTGGTTGCTTTGGGTACATTTGCTACTATTTTGTTTTGTTGTTAATGTAATTTTTAGTTACATGAACAATACATGAACACATCTGTTTGTAAAGATCGAGAAATAGACCTCAACTAATAAGGTTTCGATGGCATTCTCCAATCCAGTCTCCATCTTGTGTATCCCCTGAAATTAATTTGGGGTGTACACCTCCCAAATCGTCTGGGTTCTTGCAAACACATAGACCAGCATTTTCCACCTTCGTCCTATGCCATTTGGAGCCAGATCATTCTTTGTCACGGGTGGGCTGTCCTGTCCTGTGCATGTGGGATGCGCAGCCCCATCCCCTAGCCCCCACCCACTGGATACCAGTAGCACCCCTGCCTCCCCTCAAATGTCCCCTGTAGGGGGGATATTGCCTCTTGTTGAGAACTGCTGATCGAGATGGTGCTCAAAGAAAACACTGAAAAGAATTTTTTTAACGTTTATTTATTTTTGAGAGACAGAGGATGAGTGGGGGAGGGGGAGAGAGAGAGACAGACAGACAGACAGACAGACAGAATATGAAGCAGGCTCCAGGTTCTGAGCTGTCAGCACAGAGCCTGACGTGGGGCTCGAACTCATGAACTGCAAGATCATGACCTGAGCTGAAATCATGAGTCGGAGGCTTAACCGGCTGAACCACCAGGCGCCTCTATTTTATTTTGT